GGCTGTCAGGCTGAAACAGACACGGAGCCTGTAGGCCCTGGTTTTCAGGCTGTCAGGCTGAAACAGACACGGGGCCTGTAGGCCCTGGTTTTCAGCCTGAATTTCAGGCTTTCAGCCTGAGGGACGTAGGGCCTGGAAAATGGCCCTTGTGTGCAGGCGCAGCATGTCACAACCAGCATGGAAAAGCAAAGGGGCATGAAAGATTAAAAAACCCACAAGATGCCGAGGCATATAACCGAACCACTGGAGGATACGACTAAGGAAAAAGAAGTCCAAACAACGTGGTTTGCCTGAGCACATGCGTGTACACACACACACAGACACACACACACACACACACACACACACACACACACACACACACACACACACACACACACACACACACACACAGAAGCAGGAGAAGATTCAGATAACAGGAGGATGGGGATTAAAAAAAGGGAAAGGATGGATAACAAGGACTAGGCTGGTTGCTCCACATACTTCACCACTGCCCCTTCAAGCAAACAGCATGACAAACAGACCTCCTTAAAACCATGGGAGACCCTAGCTAGTCAAACCTAAAACTTCCAGTCTGTCCGATCTAGCCTGTTCGTCTCGAGGTCTGCACCTCCGTGTTTGAAAATTGGTACAGTTACCGGCATATGGAAGCGATTCGGCCATTTTCTGGAAACACCCATTTCTGCCAACATGGATCTTACCACGGAGGCCGAACTCACGGTGCCTCCTTGTCTACAGATGCAATTCTCGGATTGGCTGGAAGCCGAGCTCACGGTTCCAATGAGACAGAGGTCATCCTTGCAAATTCAATTGGTGAGACGGTGAGACCGCAGAGAAGTCCAGAGATAACATGAACAGGAAAGCCATTTGCAATCGGTTCAGGAATCACGCGTAACGTACAATCCTTAAACACTGCTCCTGCTCAATTTCCTGGTTCGCCTGTACGCAAGGCATTATGGGCCTCATGGCGCAAAATAAATCCAGAGGAGAAGGGTGGGTTCAAATTTCAAAAGAACAAGTGGGCAAGTAGTGTGTTAGCCTCTGCCCACCTATCCGGTGGATGTATGCCGCTGTATTCTGAGGAAAATCATAGTTGATCACCGTGTTGACGCCTTTGAAGTCCATTCCACGAGCCATCACGTCCGTTGCAATCAAAACCCAAACCTCCCCACGACGGAAGTTGTCGAGAACAGCTTCTCTCTGCACGCAACATTGCCAGGCATAGAAAAACCAGCATATCACCAAAACACGCCCAACCAGCGGCAGCCGATTGGCCCGGTTCACTGTTGTTCAAGAAAACCATCATCCATACTGTAAACAATGGAATAGAATGATTGCCCCAACCACCCCATGTATATACAATAGAAAGAGACTGAAGATCCAAGATCATCATTGCTTCTTTACTGCTAGCCAACATTACCCAAGCTCTCATGTACCACATAAGTAGGGAGTCTGACAGTTATCTAAACTCCCTCCCAGCTTTTCTGGGAAGGAAAATCACCTCCTCCTCCTCCTTTTCAGTTAGCAAATCCTGCAAGCAACTCCTCGAACATTGGTCATGGGAAAAAAAAAAACAAAAAAACAGAATATAATACAAGAAGAAGAACAAAAAAGAAAAAGGAGGATGACGACAAAGAGGGAGGGGGAGGAGGAGGAGACCGCCAAGAAGAAAGGGATCGAGGCAAACACGAAGACAGGGGTGAGGACAAGGAGGACGAGAAGAAGAAGAAGAAGAAGAAGAAGAAGAAGAAGAAGAAGAAGAAGAAGAAGAAGAAGAAGAAAGAAGAAAGAAGAAGGATAAGAAGAAGAAGAAGAAGAAGAAGAAGAAGAAGAAGAAGAAGAGTCCATAGTGAAATAACTAAACTATGTGACTAAGACTACAACCATTCCACCTTTCTCACTGTCGCCCTTCTCCCCTGTAGCATTCAATGCAAAGCTGCAACCTAAGTGCCCTCTGCAATTCAAGTGTCCACTAAACGCATGTACAACTTCACGTTTTCTACAACTTCAGCGTCCTCTCATTTCACGTCGTGTCCTTAGTGGTCCTCTACAACTTTAGTGGCATGCCCTTAAGTTTCCTCTACAACTTTATCTACCTGTCCTGACTTCTTAGTGTCCTCTACAACTCAAGTGTAGTGTCCTTAGTGTTCTCTAGAACTGTAGTGTCCCCTACGCCTCAAGTGTCATGTCCTTTGTGTCCGCTGCAATTTAGAGTCTTCTTTTTTGAAATTGACAACTTTGATTGAATGCGTAGCAAAATAACATGTAATGACCGGCAGAAAAAAATGCAGACCGTGAAACCTGCTACTTTCTGAGAGGTGCTGCTTGCTGGACTGATTTACTGAGATTTCCATGTTCTACTGTGATTTGCTGTGTTTTCTGTGTGTGTGTGTGTGTGTGTGTGTGTGTGTGTGTGTGTGTGTGCATGCGTGTGTGTGTGTGTGTGTGTGTGTGTGTGTGTGTNTGTGTGTGTGTGTGTGTGTGTGTGTGTGTGTGTGTGTGTGTGTGTGTGTGTGTGTGTGTGTGTGTGTGTGTGTGTGTGTGACATACCACTAACGTGAATGTGCCTTGTGCCTGCCTGAGTCCAAGCCTGTGTCCTTGCACTAACGCTGTTTTCTGTGCTGAGTTTCTGTGTCTCGAGCAGGGGTAGAAGGGTACTGGGAATAGACACAGGGACAGAGCCGAGATTTGGCAGCAGAAGAACTTAAAAGCAAGAGGCGCTAGACGGCTACGGGTAGTTGTAGAATTTGATAGGGACCCAGTAGGCCTTTTTCAGAAACTGAGGTAGGTCCAAATAGACCCAGTACTTGGCTCAGAGGAAAAATCAAGTAACTTCCAAAATGTTACCAAGGTCCACGGCCTGTACATAGACAGGTACTAGCGCAGATTCAGGCCCTGGGGGGTAGTTATAGGCTGCAATAATTTTCCCGCCAAAAGGCAGGAACTCCCAGTAGCTCTAGGGCCGAGCTACAGTGAAATTCGACCAGGAGTCAGTGGTAGGAAAGGGTATATCATACCTTTCTCGGCCTTTTGGCTAAGATCAAGTGTAGTATCTGTTCTGATCAGTTTAATATCTGATCCGTGGTCCATCGGGCCACACACACACAAAAAAAAAGGAAAGGGTATATCATCTGGCGGCGAGAGCAGTAGAGCTCTCTTGGATTCATTCTCCAGTTGCGAGCTGCAGGGCTGCTGGAGCGCTTACCAGCTGGGTGAGTCGCTGGTGGGAGGAGGAAGGAGGAGCTTGGCCCCCAACCCGGCTATGGTGGAGGTAGGAGAAGACATGGCTATTCTGGAGAAGTCAAGGAGAAGGAAGGAGGAGGACGAGGAATAGTAGGCACAAGGAGGAGGAGGAAGACGAGGACGAGGAGGAAGGAGGAGGAGGACAGTGAAGAAGAAGCTTACCTTGGCTATTGTGGAATGCATCTTCATCATCTTGGCCCTGCACCTGGAAGGCCCCTGGTGGAGTGATACTTGGAAGGAAGACTCCGGGGGTGGTAGTAGGCATGGCAGCCGTAGTAGGAGAGACATATTAATAGCTTTGCGTTGTCCTTTGAATATCAGAGCTAGGCTCTGATGTGCGTGCCATAGCCACCGGCTTGACAAAGCTGTAGGAGAAGTTGTGGGATGGCTAAGGTGGTCTTCTTGAGTGGCTGGCAGTAGGCTGGCAGTAAGGGGAGGATTCGGACATTGATTCTGGTTCATCCATTCACTGCTGTTGTTTTATTATTATTATTATTATTAAACCACCAGTACTTCCTAAGCCGTGCCCGTAAACAAGCCACAATTTTAGCAAACATACGAGCCACTACGGGAGCGCCCAAATTCATCCGACTACAAACGTTTGTACTTCATTTTTTTGCCGCACCAGATAGCTGGGCCAAGTACTGGTGGTTTATGATACTGGGAGAGATGGTGGAGGTGCAAGATGGTGGCGAATTAAGGGAGGAGTGACATCGGCGCTTGTTTGTCTTCTTCTTCTTCTTCTTCTTCTTCTTCTTCTTCCATTCTCCATTCTTCTTCCTCCTTTGTCTATTTCTCTTTCCAATCTCTTTCATTTCAGTTGCAATTGAACAGGACATAAAAATATCCACGATCATAACAAACATGAAAATAATAAAATATGGGTAGGACTTCAAATCAAGAGATTCGGCACCCCTACTAGTAACTTCAGGGTACCCATATTAACAAACGATCACGGATTCATAGACAGCAAGGGCTACAGCGCGTGTACGAGGATAATGCAATTTCAACCCCCCCCCAAAAAAAAACCCATCCCGCCCCCCCGACTCCCTCCACTTCCCCCGGAAAAAAGAAAAAAAAAGATAGGAATGTTATGGTTCTGGTCAGAGGTCAGGCATGAGGGAGCCCACATTCAGTGGCTTGGAATCTGATGGATAGATGAGACGAATCCTGTCGAATCTGTTCAGCGCTGATGTATCTCACGACAGACAGTCAAAGAAGAAGTCATATATGCATTGTGCGTAAGGATGCGCCTCGCTCCACTACTCACCAAATCTGCACATTGAGAATGAATCTTTGGCTATAACATGGAATGTACACCGCCACATTTTTTGCCTTTTGTGCATGTGGTGCGTAGTGCAGCGAGGCCCAATCTATATATCAAAAGAAGGAATGGGTATGCTGGTAATATTGCTAAACAAGAAAAGAAAAAAAAAGGAAAAAAAAAAGGAAAGAACGCTGATGATGCACCATACAAGCAGATTACTGTCGACACTAAAGAGTAAATAATTCATTCTGTGTCGTTCTGCCCAAATTCAACCACGCAAGAGCTCTTTCCGAGAACGGCAAACATTTAAAAAAAAAAGAATTGAACTCACAACGTGAAGTTCTTCGATTTCCATGTACTTCCATGTACTCCCTTTGAGAGGAACAAAATTTACGAAAAAGAACCCCCCTCCCCCCCCCCCCCCCAAAAAAAAGGAAAAAAGGAAAGAAATCGAATTCAAAATTCAAATTTCAAACAGGATGGCGTGTACTTGTTAATAGGAACAAAACATAAACGAAACATAAAATAAAAATGATTTGTCTAGTCTTTCGGGAAATCCATTAAAAATTGGAACGATACAGAGAAAGAAGATTAGCATGGCCCCCCTGTGCTAGGATGACACGTATAAATCGAGAAAAGGCGCCAAAAAAAAAAAAAAAAAAAAAAAAAAAAAGATTTGTCTACCTGTGCTTGCGTCCGATCGGCATGGATGCTGTCAACACGAATGCCATCATGTGCAAGTTCCTTGTGGAGCTCTTTGCACCGCTCTTTGCTTTGTACAAATACAAGAACAGGAAATTTCTGGCCCTGAATCAACCCCATGGTCCCCACCAATCAATACGGAAATAGTAAATACAGATAGATAGCACAGTGTGCAAGGAGCCATACAATACAAGTCTCTTATACACATCTAGATGTGTATAAGAGACAGATACAATACAATGAGAACACCAACAAAAGTTACAAAACCAGATTGCAAAATCTCCCCGAGGACCAGACACGATTGAGCGGAGTTGAATCCAGAAAACCGAAGCGGAGTGCAAAGCAGAAAACCAAAGCGGAGTGCATGACGAGTCGAGGTAGTAGGATGTAGAGTAGGGCGGTCATACCGCAAGTGGGGGTCTACCACATTGTTGTTCCATTGACGATTGGAAGCGGAAGTCGTCGGGTTTTCTTTATTGAGAGACTTCTTCAGTGTTCTGTTTGCTGAACTTTGCTCCTAAAAGCGTCCGCCACCTCACTCTCTGTCCACGTGTCACTTGCGTGATGCTGCTTGCAGACTCTCCTTGTACAGGCTTCCATTGTCAACACCAGGGAAGAACCGCCTGTCCCCGCTGTCTTCCTTCTTCCTGACCTCGACACTCGACCAGTTGGCTTCCCTGCCCCTATCTATGGCTGGCGCTCACTACAGGCACAGAGGAGCTGGTCTACTTCCTCAGGCGCTGCCTTCCTGCTCACAGCGCAAAAGCGCGCATCCCTTGCAGCAACCTGCCCGAATGCGCTCTGCCTGGTGGCCTCCCGACATCTTGCCCTGGGGTGAAGCACAAGTCCAGACGCAGTCGGCAGTGCCTTTCGCCCACTGGGACAGTGTCCAGGTCCCAGCCTCTGTAACTGACTCACAGGTTGGGCCTACCGGTTAACTCCAGCAGTTGGCTCCAGGAAACTTTATGCAACTACACTGTCAACTTACTGACATGCTGATCTGCTACAATCTTCACCCGAATAGAACACCCGGTCATTATCACTGCATGTGGACTGAAACTTGTGCCAAATACAGCTATAATAACCAGGGCCGTTCTATTCGGGTGAAGACGGTAGTCAAATTTCCCCTGTAGGCTGTAGTATATGACTGTATGTCTGATTGGCAATTTGCCAATTTCCCATGTAAAATGTATACATCTCACACAAAAACTACAAAATCCAATCTCAGATAATTGATTTGGGGGGGGGGGGGGGGGGGGAAAGGGGAGAAAGAGCCGCAATGGTTAGAAGTTTGAACGGTTTAGACTTCTAAAAGTAAAAAGGTAATTTTTGCACCAACTTGGTGAATTCTGAATTACCTGGGGCTGGTGAATTCTGAAGGGGCACATCCCTGTGCTGTTCACAAATACAGACCCAAGTTAGAATCCAGATACATATATCAGATGGCCAGAATAAGAGCCAAGTTCGAATACAGATACAATCAGATGAGCAGAATAAAATCATTCTGAAGTACCTGGGGCTGGTGAATTCAATAATGACATCTCAAGGCTGTCACCGTTTTAAAAAAGAAGGGAAAATTGTTGAAATAGTAGAGATACCCCTAAAAGTGGGGGTATTTCTTCAGATGCTGCTAAAACACAGAGGTATGCTGAAATGCCGCAAACGTCTGCATCTGTCTGCACCCTTCGCGCTCATAGGCAACTTTGCCATATGCCCTGGCCCTGGGCTGCAGGGGCACATGCGCATTTCTTTTGCCATCAGCAGGGTCCAAAGGCCAGAAATACCGGGTCATATAGACAAGTTGCCCAGGGCCCGGTGGGGGTATAATAGGTATATGCAAAAGACGACGGGTCCAATCGGCAAGTGGGGTATTTGGCAAAGTTTCACTCCTGTCATAAGGGCATTTTTCAACATACCCATGCCTTTTAGTGGTATTTGTCACTATTTGACAAAATACCCCAACCTTCAGGAGCATTTAAACAATTTTCCCAAAAAAGAAAGGAAACGGAAAGAGGGAAAGAAATAGAAAAAAAAAAAAAAAAGTATTTTTTGCTGTAACCACCCTGGACAAGACAATAATGCTATAGCATGATGGTCTTCTTCCGCACCTCTGTGAAAAGCTGTCGGATGGCGAGCAGTTTGCCTTCTTCGCTTCCAACAAAGACCATTCTCTGGCTCACCGTACTAGCCGCCGAGTTCCTACGGACAGGCGAGCAAAGATTCCACCGGACATATGTCAGCACGACCAAGCAATTAGCCCTTGCACCTTCATTGACTACAGTAGGTGGGGAGTCTACAACCGGAAAAAAAAAAGAAGAAAAAAACAGATGTGAGAGTGATAAGCAACATCATCAAGGATTTCTTTGGCATGATGAATGATCACAAGGACGTGTGACAACAGGTCTGAATAGCTTTAACTGGTAAGGACTACGTATTGTGACTATTGGTCACATCTGTCTGCCTGCCAGCTTGTCATCCTGCAAGCCTGCCTGCCTGAACCTCCAGCCTGCTTCCATGCCGGCATGCCTGCCTGAACCTCCAGCCTGCTTCCATGTCTGCATGCCTGCTTGCTTGCCTGCTTGCCTGATTGCTTGCTTGCCTACTTGCCAACTCCGTCCACCCAACTGTTTATTTATCACCGTATTACATAGCATGGTAACGGCGGACCCGGACACCGGACACTTCCGGACTGTCTTCTGGACCAGTGTCTGGACCGGTCCGGACTGTCCGGTGATCCGGACATCACCGGATACCGGACAGTCTGGACCGGTCCCCGGGGTGCAAAAATGTCCGGACCAAAAAAAAGAAAACTGGGGGTTGGGGGGAGGTTGGGTGGGGGTGTTGGCAAGCACTTACCTGCTTTGCACTCTGTAGTTCAGGCAGCAGAGCACGTGTCTTGCAGCAAAGCAACCAGCACATTTAACCAGCAGACATGCAGAGTTGCAAACAGTGCTAAGCAGGAACAAGAATAAAGAAACAGAGAATTAAAAAAAAAAAAAGTATGATTAACTTTGAACTTTGAACTTTGGATTTAGTAATTTAAGTTCATAACTTCATATATAACTTAAAAGTTCGAGCTTTGCAGTTCAATTCAGAACCTCAGAGTCTTCAGACTGGCAGTACTGTCAGTGCTCTCTCTCTCTCTCTCTCTCTCTCTCTCTCTCTCTCTCTCTCTCTCTCTCTCTCCCCCTAACGGGCAGGAGCGGCAGGCGCCACGTCCAAACGGCCGCTTTGAAATTGCTCGGGCCTGTGCGAAACCCGCCACCTCAAAAACCTGCAGTGTCTTGTGTCTGGACCTCTAGGCCATGTCCGGTGGGGTGAAAGGACACTTAAAAATCACCCCGTTATTTTTCTGCAGTGTCTTTGTAATGTCCCCCCAAAAACACAGACTGAGAACACTGCTGATTTCTGGCATTTGCCGCTGGAATGAATGCCTTGCTGAAATTGCCGCATTCTGCTGTGATTTCCATGTCTGTGTGTGTGCATGCCTGCTGGTTTGCATGCCTGTCTGAGTGCTTGTCGGTTGAGTGTGTGTATGACCCGCAAGGGTACTTGTTGGTTGAAGGGCTCCGCAGGGCCGGTACTTACCTGTGGCCGTGACTTTGAGGGTTGCAGGGGGCAAAACACTCAAGTAGCGGGGGTAGGCCCGCAACACTTAGAACAGTGGGGAAAAACACTCAAGTAGCAGGTAGGCCGGTACCACTCAAGTAGTGGTAGGGGTGTCGGGTACTGGAGGCCGAGCAGAAGAAGACAAAAAGTTGGCATTTTTAGAGGCCCMGTAGCGGTAGGATAGCGGTAGGCCKGTACCAGTCCAAGTAGCCCGGGTCTAGGGCCTGTASGGAGGATAGCAGAGCCTGCAATGATGTTTCCCTCCGAAAGGGAGGAGGTACCGGTTGCTGGGAGGCCGCTCGGCCTAGGAAGTCACCGCCCAGGAGGCCGGTAGGCCGCTATATCTCCAGGAAGAGCAAAGAGCTCTTCCTCATTTGCGGTGTGCAAGGATTGGCGACATGCTGCTGGAGCGCAGCGCTGGACTGGTGCAGCGCTGCTTGGAGGTGAAGGGCCGCTGGAGCTCAGCCTGGCTGTGGCGAGCAGTCCAGCTTGAGGAGGAGGGTGAAGGGGGGCATAGTAGGAGAGTGGCGGGGCACTTACCTGGCGATGGTAGACACCATCTTCATCACCTTGTTGGGCGCTGCATCTGGAAGGCCCCAGTTGGGGTAGTCCGGCACCAGGGAAGCTCGAGGCAGATTCAGGCATGGCGGACCAGGCAGCAGCGGCATAGCTGCTTTGGGTTGTCCTTTGGACATCAGCGCAGCACCATAGCTGCTTTGGGTTGTCCTTTGGACGTCAGGGCAAGGCCCTCATTAGTCCGCCATAGCCTATGCATGAGAGAGGAGGCTGAAGGAGGGAAGCCATAGCTATGGTGGACTGGTTGTTGTTGTTGAGTTGAGTCAGCAGTAAGAGGGAACTTCGGACATTGATTCTGGTTCATCCATTCATTGTTATTATTATTATTGAGAGAAGAATAAGATTGGCGAAGAGAAGGAGGAGGAGGAAGGTGTAGAGAGAAAGGGGAATTGTCATTGGTCTTGCTGGTGCACATCTTCTTCTTCTTCTTCTTCTTCTTCTTCTTCTTCTTCTTCTTCTTCTATCTCTTTGCAAGTGCTTTCATTTCTTTCGCAATTGGGTGGCATTGTCTTTCATTGTGAATTTGCACTTGGGAAATGACCAGGATCGTAACACACTTAAAAATCACCCCGTTATTTTTCGAGGGGCGGCTAGGACCCAACAAACGTCCTGGGCCGCCCCCCCCTTTTTTTTTTTTTGCCCCAGGGGCCTCCATCCAGACATGGGGACCGGACACCGGACACCAGACACTGGACACCGGACTGTCTGGAACCCGGTCCGGACGTCCGGGCGGTTACCATGTTACATAGGCTTTCATTGTTCGCAATACGGAACTATGAAGGCTGGGGGGAAGAACAAAGGAGCTGGTGACTGTGGATGATGATGATGATGTGCAAAAATTAAACCTTACATCAACTGTCAGGACCAGTTTTCACGTACCTCTCCCCAATAACAATCCGCACAGGGTCATGCATAACACTTCTTGCAAGCTCTTCCACTGTCTCCGGGAGGGTAGCACTGAATAATGATCGCTGCAGGTTTGTATTTGTACATGCCTCAAGGATGCGATCTACTTGCTCCATGAAGCCCATATCAAACAACTTATCTGACTCATCCAGAACAAGATGAACGACGCTGCACAAAGTAGAAAAGGAAACACTGTCGATCAGATTCGGATTTCACAAATGAGGATACGTGGAAGCAGAGTCCGACGCATTCTGATTTCACAAACGAGAATGTTTGGCTGCAGCTCGACGACGCGAGCACAGATGCAAAGTGTGCAAAAGGACGGGCATTGCCTGCATCAAGAATAATGAGGACCAATCACCAACACCTCAGCACGGAGGACAAACATTGGCACTCCCTGTTCCCTGTGCTGGTCCCCGGGCGGCCCGCCTGGGGGAAGGTCGCCAGGGTACCCTCCTGGGCGGCCCGAGGGCAGGGTCCGAACAGGGTCCCGGGTGGTCCCAGCGCATAATATTAAAAAACTAGCATTAAAAAAAATGAAAACCTTCCGAAAAAAATATATGTTGTGTAAAATACTGAAATTGCAATAGAAAGTTTAATAAACAACGTTTGGCGGAGGACCACCGCAAAATTCCTTGTTAATTTTAAGATTAAAAAAAATAATGAGAAAACATAAGTAAAAAATTCTCAAAATGTACCCTTTTAAACCCCTTTAGTCACTGTTTATAACTTTATACCCCCCAAACCCCTCTGGATGACCCATCACCAAAATCGAAGTTGAGACCAGATTCTGACTGCTTAGGCCAAGCGCAGTCCTGGTGCATGGGTCCTGGGGACCATCTCACGCAAGTGTGTACATGCCATGCATCGTACTCCCACACACAATGAACAGTAGTCTGACAATAGACAAAGATAGAGAAGATGAGGACCGAGTTTCACAGTTTATATTATCAGAAATATGAATACAAAGTGTTTCAAAGTTCCCCTGAGTCCAGCGCTCATCAGCGCAACACCAATATCTTGCCAACTCATCAATATGCCTTCCAGTGAATCAGTGCTACCCCTGCAGATAGTCTCCAAGTCATCAATGTGGTCACCACTCATCAGCGCCACCTCTGCAGGTCACATCCAACTCAGGTAAGTATCTTCCATAGCCAACCTTGAATGAACACTCTCAGCCTCAATCCCTTCCTCCTATGATGCATACACACTCTTCAATACTCATGAGGATCTACTCTGGATACTACTCATAGCTACATACTAACCCTCTACTACTAATGCTAACTCGCTGGGCAGCTATGGCTGCATCACTTCCAGCGTACAGGCATCTTCCTCCCTCCAGCGCGTCTTCTCCTCCAGCGCTGCTCCTCCCGACTCAGCGCACAAGTGCACCAGCACTTCCACGCATTGCAGCCAGTGGAGATCTGGCGAAGAATGAGGCAGGCAGCTCTTTTTATAGTGCTGGCCACTCCTCGCTGGGTCTGCATTGGCTCAATTCAGCCTCTCCCTTTGTCCCAGACCCTGCATTGCATGTGTCCCAGTACAGTCCCAATGAGATTCAACTGCTGCTGAGGCACTTCGGCCTGGATTTGGACTTGAAAGTCTGGATCTGGACTGACCCCTTGACTTAGACCAGAACTGGGACTGTGCCTACTGACTTCACTTTCGGACAGGCACAACTCTAAACCAACAGACACATTTACTACTTGAACAGGCACTTTCCATTGCACGAACAGGTACACTGCCTACACGTACAGACACACCCTTACTCGAACAGACATGACATACACATCTCCTGGTGAACAGGTAAGTCTTTTGACAATGCCCTTTGCCTTAGATTTAGATGTGCCTGTTGATAGAGAACTTGACTTTTGACCTGTTTTCACGTTTCTGAGCCCTGGCAAGATACCTTTTCACAATGCTTTACTTTTACAAGGCCCGTGCTGCTCTATTTTTACAAGGCCTGAGGCCTATATCGGGTAAAGGCCCTTTTACTGGCCTTGCGCCTGAAGCCCTTTTTTTTCTCTTTGGGATCCTTGCCTCTTTTTAAACCCGTCTGGTTTTGCCGGGCGACTCCCCATCTGCCCAATTGGCCCGGGCGTGCCAAGCCGGGCAACGGCCTAGCATAGCCTTTTCCTCCTTTCTGAATGGTATGTGCTCACACACACACACACACACAGAGTCATGCTTTTTTTCTAGTGTATACTACTGTGTAGCGAATATGACAACACACGCACACACACACACACACAAACACACACACACACACACACACACACACACACACACACACACACACACCTGTCGATAAACGAATCCAAGTAAGAAAGAAAAGTCTGTTGGACGCAAACAAGGTTAGACTGTTAGGGGTTCCCCGCTCACGAAACAAGCAAATGAACAAACAAACAAAAATCACAAATTGGACCAGTGTCCGAAACCGATAGGCCAGTGAGCACCCTGGGTCACAGATAGTTCGAAGGTTTTTATTCGTTATTACCAGAGATGACCAACGGGTACCCAGACCCACACCCACCCGTACTCACCCCATCCACCATGAGGCACTGGGTCAGGTGTGGGTCTTGATAATCTGCACGGGTGGGATGAGGGTGGGTCTAAGAGAACCAGCCTGGGTGGGTGATGGGTGGGTCAATGTTAGGTGTGGGTCACCCGAATGGGTGGGTGACAGGCGGATGACCGCTGGGTCTGGGTGACCCGACCCACGGACCCAGGTCAATCCATAAGACCCCCCCCCCCTACATATTTTCCATCTGCGGTCCACGTGTGGACTTCAAAAGTTGGAGGCCAAGGAAACAGAAAGTCTCCACCCTGGGGCCCCCTGGGAAAAAAAGCGTTCTGTGATAACCCGTCCAAACACGGACTGAAACACACAGCTGATTTCTGAGTTTTGCTCATAGACTGAATGCCCTACTGAGTTCCCCGCCTGCTAAGTCTGTGTGTGTGTGTGCTTGCTGGACTGCATGTCTGTCTGAGTGCTGGTTGGCTTGCGTGTGTGACCATGCCTGTCTGAGTGCTGGTTGGTATGAGTGTCTGTGTGTGTGCCCCGCCAGGGCACTTGTTTGTTCGTTGGGCCCTCAGGGACGGTACTTACCTGTGGCCGTGGCTTCGAAGGGTTGCAGCAGGGAAGTAGCGGGTAGGCCGGTACCGCACCCGGCAGGGGGGTAAATATGCAGGTACCGGACGCCGAGCAGAGGAAGACAAAAGTGGTATTTTTAGAGGCCGGTAGTGTAGGCTAGGTCTAGCGGGTACCAGTCTGAGTCTAGGGCCTGTAGGGGCAATATCAAAGTCTGCAATGATGTTCCCTCCAAAAGGAGGAAGAGGTACTGGTTGCTTGGGAAGGCCAGCAGCCTGGAAATCACCGCCCAAGAGGTAAAAGGGCCTTTACTCAATTCAGCCCCTGCCCGAAGGAGGCAGCATAGTGGGGTATCTCGTTCAGAGCCCAGATCGTGAAAGCAGATCAAAAGACATGTTTTCTGGTCAAAAGTCACCTCTAACCTAAGCAAGAGACATTTGCAAAAGTCATGCAACGGCTCTTAGCACACGTCCATCTGCCAACCAATCAGTGGCTCCACAAGAGAAGAAAACACACAGACCCTGACAGCACTGATATATGCAGTCTGTGCACAGGCAACGCAGTGGAAGACGCACTCCACTGCCTTTTATACTGCACGGAAGCAACATGGATCTGGAACAAAGTGCGCGACCTTTGAACCTCTCTCTTCCCATCACCCCCCCCGGCCACAACCCCCCTCAACATCCTGCTCCTATCTAACGACACTAACAATCTCAAAGGTGGCAAGGAAGTCTGGTTCCATCTACTCAGAAAGCTGGCGCTCTGGGTAATCTGGAAGAGAAGATGCTCCAAGACGATCGAAGGAATTGAGATACCAAGAGAGGAAACGTGGGTTCTACTGCTAAGAATGGCGGAAACAGAGATTCGATCCAGATGGCGAGAAGTGACCATGACTACGAAACGCAGACCCGAAAGGATAGCCACAAATAGACGTAAATTCATAAGAAACTGGCTTTTGCAGGGAAAGATCGCCACTGTGGTGGACAACAGAATGGTGTGGAAGAAGTGGCTCAACACGAGAACAGGGTCCCAGTGAAGAGCTAACTGAGATTTTAATCTCAACAGCTAGACAACTCTCCCCTTTTCTTGCTTTATACGTAGCATCTGGCAGAGACATTATAGTTTCTGAGAGGAAAAGAGGTAGGGCAAGCTGACAGTCAATCCTCCTGAAAAAGGAGCAATCAATGCTGGTCAGGGTTCCTTCGGCCAGACGGAAGGAAGCGTGAAGGTGTTCACCATGTATTTCATTCTCGACTTGCCGGTGGAAAGGAACCGGACTGACGCTCCCCAGAATGGATATGGAGCCAGGACCACAAGGACCTGTTTTATTTTAAAAAAAAAAAGAAAAAAAAAAAAGAGACATTTGCAAAAGTCACGGTTGTGCCCCTGGACGAACAGTTGCAAAATCTAATTTGGGTCACATCTGTTCATTCAGGGGATATGCGAGTCATGTCTGTTCACATAAAGATGTGTCTGTACGAGCAGTCAGTGTGTCTGTTCGTATAATGAAAGTGTCTATTCGTGCAAAAAGATGTGTCTGTCTACAAGAAAGTCAAGAGTTTAAGGCTCAGCTCAGATTCAAGTCAGGGGGTTACGGATGGGCAGTCCGAAATTAAGGCCTACAGGCCGCAGCAGCAGCAACCCATGAAGGACAGGGAATCTGGGATACATACACAGAGGCTGGTGCAAGGAACCGATCTGTTCACAGCTTGCTTGAGAGTATCACATTGCATGCGTTCATGTCATCACACGTGCAAAATGGTCTCACACAAAACCCAGATAGAGATGAGATGAGATGAGAACCAGTAGCGCAGCTTATATTATCAAAATTATTGAATACAAAGAGTATCACGATTTCCAGGGATCAGCGCCCATGAAAGGTAAGTCTCCCTCATTAAACAACTGACGAGACCTGGTTCTACCAGC